TCCGTCTTAAAATGATTAACATTTTTATTATTTGAACATTTCGATAACTTTTGTTTACTCGTCTACAAGATAATTAATTATAGAGATGGTAGAGAATGAATAGCTGGTAGCGTATAGCAGCTTGTATATATACATGATGAACCTTCAAATACATCCCATTTTTATTACTCACTTCGTTCTAAATCATTTACTCTTTATGCAAAATAAATTAAAATCTCAAGTTTTTAAATTCATTTTATTTAAGGATTGATACATAAATAAAAAAAATGTACATATTTAAAAAGTACAGAGTACATCAAAAGTTCTACAAAACAAGATGTGACAAGAATATTTTATTTCATCAAATAGTCAATAAAAATGCAAAAATAAACAAAAATTCCCATGATTTTTGAATAGTAAAGTGTATAAATCATTTAGGGACGGAGAAAGTTATAAAAATTTGGATAGTTATTTGAGTACCCCAATAATTGTACAATAAAGGACAAACGCAGTCGTTTTGTATATGTTCGGACACATACATTATGTCTGTGTTTACCTTAGTGTACAATTGTTCCCTAATATTTCCGTGCAAAATTCCTAGTCATCCCTCCAAGCAAAATAAAATTCCAAAATAGATTACAAAAAGGAAAAAAAACAAAAAAACTCAAAGGTGTGTTTGCGTGAGTTTAAAGCTGAAAATTGGAGAAAAGAATCTCAAGTGGATTCCAGCGTGTAGTCCATGTACTGTCTATTAGACTACTACTTTCATTTTTTTTATAAATCTAGTTTGGGTCTAGTTCAATAATGTGGGTATGTATGCGATTCCCGTGACATTGAAATCCAATGAAACCCAATGTCATGAGATGACCCTGGGTGCTTCGGTGCCCCATTCGTAAAATTAACGGTTCATATCTTTCTAACTCTCCTGGTAAACTCCCCCACTCCGTCCCGACCCGAACACACACCCTTACCCTGTCAATTGCACCCCACAACTTGATTTTAACTTTGGAGTCAAAATTTGACTCCAAAGTTAAAATCAACTTGTGGGGTGCAATTGACGGGGTTAGGGGGTGTGTCTGGGTCCGGACGGAGTGGGGGTTTACCGGGGGATTAGGGAGTAGGAACCGTCAATTTTACGAACGGGACATTGAAACACCATGAGATCATCCCATGACATTGCATTGCTTGGCAATGTCATGAGAACCTTAAACACGGTTCTCATGACATTGTCAAGCAATGTCATGGAATGACCTGAGGGTTCCTACCCCCGATAATCCCCCATTCCATCCCGACCCAACCACATTCCCTTACTCCCGTCAATTGCACCTCACACGTTGATTTTGACTTTAGAGTAAAATTTTGATTCCAAAGTCAAAATCAACTTGTGGGGTACAATTGGCGGGGGTAGGGGTGTGTGTTTGGGTCGGGGCAGAGTGGAAGGGTTTACCGGGAATAACAACCGTCAATTTTACGAATGGAGCACCGGAGCACCCTGGGTCATCCCATGACAATAGATTCTAATGTGATGGGAATTTTGGTGTTGAATAATTTTAAGACCGATGAATTACTCACTCAAGCTAAGGCCGTGTTTGGAAAACAACATTTGGGATAGCTTTTGGCATCTTTGACTGACTTTGGCTTTTTTGACCAAGCGAACCGCCAAAACCATTGTTTGGCTAATGGCTTTTTCACTTGACATTTTGATCCGAAAAGCCAAAATCTGAAATGCCAAGGTGAGTAACATTTGGACTTTGCGGTTAGGAAAAATATTTTTTTAAAATATTTTTGTTGAAAGATATTTTATAATATATGTAAAAAATAAAAATAAAAGTTAAAAAAAATTAAATACAAAAAAATAAAATGAAATTAAAAAAAATTATATTTATAATTCATTAAAAAATTTATATTTATAATTTATTATGAATTAAATGAAATTAAAATTTAATATTCCATATAGTAAAGATTTAATTTTTACATGTAAAAAAATAAAAAATAAAAATCATGTCTATACACACACAGATATATATATATATATATATATATATATATATATATATATATATATATATATAAATTTTTATTTAATTTTTTAAATTTTAAAAAAATATATTTATGATATGATATTTAAAAAAATTGTAAAATAAAATATACCATAAATGGAGGGATGTCCTTTTATGTAATTTTATTTACAAACAGCTAACTATAAACAGCTAAAGTTGCCCAACACTTAGAATTTAACTGCTAACAGAAACATCCGGTCAAAACAGCTAACTCAATCAGCCATTCAAATCAGCTAACATAAACATCCAACATCCAACTACTAACTGCTAGTATCCAAACAAGGCAAACTCGGTAGGTAAATTCGAGTTTGAAACCTTAGCCTTAAAGAAAGATCAATGCTAGGGTACAATTCTTATCACCAATTTATTTTTTTATCGGACAATTGAAATCTAATTCACGTGTTAATACTTGTAATTGAAATCGAATTCACGTGTGTTCCAATTTTCTCGTCCCATTTTTCACCGGACCATCGTGGAGTGAAAAATTAGTATATACTCACTCCACTTTGACTTTTTCGAGTCAAACTGGACAAATTTTGAGTTTCAATTAAATAAAAATCGTAATGTATTTTAACATAAAAATAATTTTATTGGATTTATCGTATTGAGAACTTTCAAAATTATATTTCATTATGATGATATGCAATATAAATTGAGAGTAATTGCAATTCAAAGTTTGTCCAGTTTGACCCGAAAAAGTCAAACTGGACAAATACACTGGAACGGAGGTAGTATATAATTAGTAAAAATTACTTATTTTTAAAATTAGTATCCTCATTTCCGTTTTAACTAAACGATAACAAAACTCTCCTTAACCATTTATGACTATCTCAAATGATATATATGTAATTTAAGTCATTTTATAAAGAATACTTCAGTAAGTTACTACTCCCTCCGTCCCAGAAAGAATGCAACGTTTACTATTCTGGCCTCTCGATAACTTTTATTTGTTTACTCATTTTGGTTGACCATTTGATAAAATAAAATATTCTTGTCGCATCTTGTTTTGTAGAGCTTTTCATATACTTTTAAATGGTGTAATTTTTACTTATTATTACTCTACCAATTTGAAATCAAAGTGATTTTAAAAGAGATGATATTTTGCACGTCGTTCGAAGTGTTGTAAATAAATTGGGACGGAGGGAGTATTTCATATAAAGTACGGAGTAAAAATTATTTATCAGCAATAAACTAACCAACAAATCATATATGTCCCCACTTCTTATTTGGCTTGAAAATTGAAACACTTATTTTAGCCTATTTTTATTAGAGTATTATTCTTCAAAAGCTCTATAGCTTTTATGGAATGACCTTCCTAAAGTAACTTTTTCAAAATTTATTTTTCCTAAAACCAGCTTTAAATTAATCTCTTTTCTTTAACAGTTTACCTTGGCAATCAGATAATTACTAATGTGAATTCGATTTTTTCGGTTTTATTTTTATTCTAAGGACACTACTTAAATCATTGGTTGTTTAAATTTTAAAACACTTTTTTTGCTGTTCGACTATTTATTCTTTTTAGTTTTCTTAAATTTGTTTAAAAATTTTAAAAATATAGCGGTAAATAGGCTGTAAAATGTATCAAGAAATTAAAAATTGTTTCCCAAGTATAAAATGAACTGAGTATTAACTTGGCTGGACCACAAGGCTTTGGCTAGATATATAATCTAACATGAACAGTGTTAAAGTTAATCCCACATCAGAAGTTCAAGAGTAAAACAATCGGTATATAAGCTCTTGAGTTGAACTAACTAATCGATTGGATTCAATCTTTTAATGTGGTTCAGCCCAAGTGTCTTATTGTCCAATCCAGTTATCACATCTCATCCTAAATTCATTCATAGCGGTCCGTTAATCTTTAACCCAGTTGTCCGCCACTTGAGGGGAGTATTAAAGTGCATCCCACATCGGAAGTTCAAGAGTAAAATAATCGATATATAAGCTCTTGAGTTGGACTAACTAATCGATATATATATATATATATATATATATATATATATATATATATATATATATATATATATATATATATATATATATATATATATATATATAAGAGATTAAGATGTTAGAATCGTTTGTGTAAGTATTACTTAGGTCAGGCTAGTTACCACTTGAGAATGAGTGTTGGAGTTTCTCCTTTAGAAAATAAAGAAGAATATCATCAGCTTATATAGAAAGAAAGCCCTACCTATTAGCTTAAGCTTTTGAGGTAGGAAGTAGATTCCGACTTTATATGCAAGTGGTTAATTTTACCAAAACTCTACTCATTATTCTCGACCCACCAGAAGTTTAACATTTACCCATCTAGTTTTGACATTTATACAAGATATACACAAATACTCCTTCCGTCCCTTATAGATCTTCTCATTAACCCTTTTTATTTGTCCACCATAGATCTTCCCATTACCTTTTTTAATACTTAAAATACCACAACTACCCCCACTTACTTTATTTATTACATCTCACCTACCTCATTTAATACACCCCACTCATTTTCATTAAGGGTATTATGGTAAACTTTGACCTTTTTTCAACTCTCCTAAAAAACCGCAAAAAGTCAAAACGAGAAGATCTTAGGGGGACGGAGGGAATAATTATTATTTGAATGAAGCAGACAACTACTTTTTTGTAAAATACTCCATCCGTTCGTAAAAAGACGTCTTCTTTATTATTTAGGATTTTCAATAACTTTTATATGCATATATTTTTTCATTAATCATTTGATAAAATAAACAATTCATACAAAATTATTTTGTAAAATTCTTGATGTAATTTGTATGTATACTTGGTATGACTTATACTCCACTTTTTATCCTAATACCAATTTTTAAATAAAATTATTTAAAAATGGGTGTTTTAGACTTTTGGTGTTTGGACTTTTGGTGTTAGATTTATCTTGGGCTTTGCGGGTTCATTGCACACTACGCGGCGCCCAGTGGTTGACTCAATCCGCCCACACCAGAAGCTTGGGTATGTCACCCACACAGTAAAACTACCCACCTTCCGTGAAGACTCTGCTCCGAATAAAAGAACTCCAACGGGCTTTTCGCTCACAGACACAAGTCCGTTTCCTTCTCCGGCTCGCCAAAAGTCTCCGTTGGGTCCAAACTCAGTTCAACGAAAATGGTGGGTTCTCTGATCTCTCTCCCGGGAATCGATTTTCTTTCCCGGGTTCTCTGTTTTTCTCGGTCTCCGATTTGTGATTCTGTGTGCGAGTTTAGTCTTTGATCTGTGATCGTCTGTGGCTCAAGATCTTAAAATCACCGGAAAAAAGATGTCTGTTGTCTCAGTAGCTCATGCAATTTCAGATTTTACTGCTCTTTGTTGATGTGGGTCTAGCTGAAGCAGGGCGATTGTGAGTGACTGTGATGGATCTGAAGTTAAGAAGGTTTTTATAACTTGATCCACTCTGTTCTTCAGCAAAAGGGAGGATCATGTATTTTTGCTACTTTGATCTTTGGATTCGTTGTCAGATTTTGTGTATTCTGTCTCTTTTATGCACTTGATCTTTGCCTCAAGCAATTTTGATTCGCTTTATTTCGGGTTGCTTCCATGTAGGAATTACAATCAGATTGGAGGATCAATATACCAATACCTCGATCTGTACTAGTTGCAGTGCTCTATAACAGAACTGTGAACCCTTTTGGTTGTTTTTATCTATGTTAATTCGGGGGAGGGTGGGAGTGGTAAGGCTGAAGTGGTCTGGGCGTGCAAGGAGGAGAAGTGTTGAGGCCCTGTCAAGGAGATGGGAGAGGCTTGCAGTAGAGGGCGCGAGAAGGGATAGAGGCAGAGCTAGGAAAGCAGGAAGGGGTGGTTAGACATGACTTGCGATTTCAAGATCTAACCGAGTATATTATATGACATTAGATAGAAACGTGTGGAGATTTAGAATTACAGTTGTTGAATCGCCTTTGGGGCTTAATTTGTAGTTTATGTTGGTGTGTTTTTTAACTTTAGTCGGTAGTTTGTGCATGTGTGCTTTATGTGAGTCCCATGCTTTGGGTTGAGCTGCTAGCATCAGTATGAGTGCTTCTTGAGTTTTTGTGTTGTGTTCTTACTTTGTTCGTGTTATGATTATTATTTTGTTTGTGTTTCTGTGTTTGAGCCGGGGGCTCTTGAAAACAGCCTCTCTACCCTCCTTAGTAAGGGGTTTTGTGGGATTTAATTGGGTTTGTTGCTGCACAAATTCTTCAAAGAAGTATCCCTTCTCGTCCCCCAAGATGTCCCCATTCGGTTACTTTCAGACATACCGATACCCAAATTCTCTATAGAATGTAAAAAAGTAACTCTGTCTGGCTATGAGTACCCGTCTCCGTCTTTGCGCAACTTAGGTTTTTTTCTTGGCTTTGTTGATTCTAAGATCTATAGGTTTAGGCATTTTGTTACAATCCGGACATATTGCGTCAAATTGTAGCATCTTGTATGCATTTCATTTTATGCTCATTCAAAGGTTCTTTAGGATTCTCAGTCGGTTCCTGAATGCATTGAACCCATCATCGAGCTTCGTCAATTTAGTTACTCGTATGAATTTCCCCGTCTGTTGGCTGATTGAGTTGGGATTAGTAGTTTGATGTAACTTTTCTTCTATCAGGCCAATGCAGCCTCTGGGATAGATGTGCATGACGACTGCAAGTTGAAGTTCTTGGAGTTGAAAGCGAAAAGGACTTATCGTTACATTGTTTTCAAAATTGGGGATCCCACAATTGAAAAAGTTCTCGAGCCTACAAAAAGCAAGATTGAGGTGGAGGAGGTAGTTGTTGAAAAGGTTGGTGAGCCAGCCAAAAGCAATGCCGAGGAGAAGGTTGTGGAAAAGGCCACTGAGCCAACCAAAAGAAAGATTGAGAAGGACAAGGTGATAGTCGAAAAGCTTGGGGAGCCAGCAGCCAGCTATGCGGAATTCACTGCTAGCCTCCCTGATGATGAATGCCGATATGCTGTTTATGACTTTGATTTTGTGACAGCAGAGAGTTGCCAGAAAAGCAAGATTTTCTTCATAGCATGGTACTCTTGTTGAATAATTTAGTGACTTTTTAATAAACTTATTACTCCCTCCGTCCGTATTTAGTTTTTCATTTTCTTGTTTTCATTTGTCCGAAAGTTGCTGTCCACTTTCTATATCCAATAAAGAAGTTATGATGAATTGTGTAAAATACCCTAGACATAGGCTCCACCCATTGCCAATGAAGCTAAAAGAGTCATTATTGACAATGTTTTATTTTCAGTTACATAGTAAACTAAATTAAAACGGAACCTTAAACTTCCCATTCTTCTTACTTTTGTGGAGTTTTGGGCACCTTAAATCTCATTAAAACGGCACCTTAAACTCATTTGAATTTTGAATGGCTTATTTTACATTTCAAGCTCATTTCCTAAAAACGAGATTTTTAAGGAACTGGACAACAAATTTCTTTTCCCCTGACTCCTCCACTAATGTATTCATTCATTTTTGTTGTCTAAGGTCTCCTGACACAGCAAGGGTTAGGAACAAGATGATATATGCAAGTACCAAAGACAGATTCAAGAGGGAGTTGGATGGCATTCAGGTGGAACTTCAAGCCACCGATCCAACCGAAATGGACCTTGATGTCCTTAAAAGCCGTGCTAACTAAGCGTTGTTCTTCCAGATCAATAGACTTCCTAGTTCCTACTGATAGAACTCGGTGCAGTCTTCTTTCTTCTTTTACTTGGTCGAATTTTGTTATGGTTTGTTAAAACAGAAACTTGGGTGGCGATAATATTGATTGTCAAGTGCTACCATTACGGTCCTCCATTTATTTCGGCGAACAAATATGTGGTGTCTGGTATATGAGTCCATTCGAAATTCACTTGGTGTGAAATTTGGTTGTGTTTGTTGTTTTTGTTGCCTTTGAACTTCATATATTGGTATTTTTCACTTGGCTCTACTCTCTCTCTCTCTCTCTCTCTCTCTCTCTCTCTCTCTCTCTCTCTCTCTTGTGACCAGCAATTTGAATGTTTTGTTTTGTTGCTGGAATTGAAGTCCTTCCCCCGGTAAGTTCTTCTGTTTCGCCTTAGCTCTGCCATATGATTTTCTACTCATTTTGCCCTAAATTTCAGAACTCACTTCTGATATATACATATACATACACACACGCACACGCACACACACGCACGCTTGGGTTCGACCTTACGATCCAGAGGCATTTCTGTTCGTTTCTGAGGGTTTTACTTTAACAGAAGGGAAGGGGGATGGGAAGGGGAACCACACTCCTAAAAGGGGACGAAAGAGATGAATGTGGGGATAGGGTGGATGAAGTGAACTATACCCCCCTGGCTTTATACATGTCATTTTAATTCATTGCAAATTCTTGCTATAGTAGTCTCGAAATATTTTATTTTATTTTTTGCCTATTTTTGTTATTTAGTCGATAAAATCATACCATTTCTTTTTTCTACTTTGTATAACTTTTGATGTAGTCTTAAAATTTACGGAGTATAAATTTTATAGATTTTTTTTTAATTCTACAATTATCAAATAAACTATCTTGAAAATAGTTTTTGTCATATATCATAAATCGAGACAGTTAACTTAATTTTGGGAAGAGAGTGTATTTGTTTTACCTCTACGTTTTCTTGCTGGAAAATGAAAATTAAGTTTTTTTTTTTAAAAAAAAAATCTTTTACATTAAATTACATGTGGAGGTAAAATCTGCATGCAATTGTTTGAGACGTAGACCCATCCAGAGATCATTATCCAATGGGTATGAATCAAAAGTTATCAAACTCATTTTGAATGGATTTAGGTTTGTTCTTCAATTTACGGAGTATGAAATAATAATGTTGTTATTCAAATTCACTTTTAAAAATATTTCATTGACTTTGACATTGTAATTTGGTATATTTTGAATAAGTGGGTTCTAGTGACACTGACTTTTGGTGATACTAGCAGTGCCACTGTCATTTTGGAGCACTTCCGGTGCCCTTTTCGTAAAATTGACGGTTCCTACTCTCCCTAACCCACCCTCGAAACTCCCCACCCTACTCTCGCCCCTGCACCCACCCCAACCCCGCCGTAAGCCCCCCACAAAATGTGTGGCTATTAACGCATAATAGCCACACATTTTGTGGGGGGCTTACGGAGGGGTTGGGGATGCAGGGGCGGGGGTAGGGTGGGGGTTTAGTTGGTGGGTTAGGGGGGTAGAAACTGTCAATTTTACGAACGGAACATCAGAAGTGTCCCAAAATGACAGTGGCACCGGAGTGTCACTAGAACCCCACCGATTTTGAATAAAGAGAATAAATTAATCTTGTACGGAATATTTAACAATTTATATATGAATAAATAAACCCAATGGAATTTGAGAGGAACTAAAAAATAAAATTTATAATTTTTAAAGGAATCAAAACATATATTTAAATTGGGGAAGACTATTTGAAAAGATACTAATTTTACAAACATGACGCCATTAAAAAGGAGGGACCAAAAAAACAACTCGCTAGTTTCACTAGAACTACAAACATATTTAACCTTTTTTTGTAAATACAAATCTATTATTTTGTTATAGTTCATACATATTTTTTAAAATGCCGAATATATGATTTCGTAGTTCGATGTTCAAAAGACTATATAGAAAAGATTTGAAACTTGAATTCTTTGAAGGTGCGAAACATTTTGTTAGAAATGCGTAGTTGCTTCATTATCTTGTTGTTTTTAGGGAATTTAAAAATCTAGTTTTTATGTTGAAATGTGAATACATGAAATATTAGGTGAATCATACAATTTGTGATGCGCTTAGACAATGTGGAATTAGTTCCCTATAGGTGATGCTTTTCAAAAAGAGTTCCCGATCAGTGATCAGTGCAATTCAAAAAGTCAAGATGATTGAACAGTATCCCTTGTACTCTTTTATTTAGATATTGTGGAGTTTTTAGTTTTTACATCTAACTTTTAAATTTACTCCGGCACCTAACTCATCTAACTTTTCTCAACTACTACACCTAACTTAAATCAAATCCTGCACCTAACTCAAATCTCACCTAACTTTACTCAACTACCACATATATAAATAACTTAACTCTACTATAAATTTGTGGCAAAAAATAATAATCTCACTATACAACTACAAATCTCACAAATCTTTTTCACGTTTCAAAAAAATGGACTCTCATTCTAGCTTTATCCTTCTAGCCCATTGGAATGGTGAGTTCAAAATTGTAGACAATGAGTTGGAGTACTCATTGCATGCAAACAAGGCATTCGTCTTTGATCTTGAAGTCTCATTTGAACAAGTTTTCAATGAATTCCTCACTGCTGTTAGAGAAGATGGTTTTAATTCCATCAAGAAAATTTGGGGGAAATATCCCAAATATAAGGATGGAGTATATGCTGCTTCACGCCCTTTCCCAATTTCTAAAGAGCAAACTTGGAGGTGCTTTATTCAAAAGGCCACCAATCAATATGATGAGCTTGAGGTGTACCTAGCGCCTCAACGAGTTCAAGAGGAGCTTCACGAGGATGACATAGAGGAAGAAGGAGGGCCGTCTAACACCGCACTAGGTGTGGATGATGAAAATGACCCTGACGATCCAACTTACATTGGTAATTCTGACGATGAGAGTAGTTCTTCAGATGAGTCAGAAGTATCTGGATGGGTCTCTATGTGCACGCCATATGTGTATATAGAGGATCCTACGATCGTTCGTAATTCGGTCGAGATTGCACCATCTGTCCATAAGAACGTTGAGCAAGTATCTCTAGAGCCAACGTTTTGTGTCCCGGAGATCGAAATTGGCCAAACTTACGCTGATTTCAAAAGCTTGCTATTTGATGTGTCTCTTCGCAATATTGCGGAGCATAGACACTTTCGGACTTCTTCAAAGCGTAAAAGTTACTGGCTAGCAAAGTGTTCATACCCAGACCAGTGCTCATGGCTCATTCAAGCTGCTGAATCATCTTCTCTTTGGACTGTAAAAAAATACAAAAGTCAACATTTATGCAGACCTGATTATTCCAAAGAGAAGAATGACAAGCTTATCACAAGCAAACTCATTTCTGGAATTATCTTTTCCAAAATTGCAGCTGATGCAGATTACAAGGTGATGTACATCGTTAAAGATGTATTTGACTTATTTCGGGTAGCTGTAACGTACAAGAAATGTTGGTTGGCCAAGTCTATTGCAATTCAACGATTGTATGGGTCCTCGGAGGATTCGTACAACAAATTATTGCCTCTGCTAGCTGTGCTGATGCAAAGCAATCCCGGATCAGTGACTGAGATTCAAATGTTGCCCACAACGTCACCTCAAACATTTCAATTCATGTATGTTTTCTGGACTTTTAAGGCATCCATTGACGGGTTTAACTTCTGTTTTCCTGTTGTCTCTGTTGATGGCACTCACCTATACGGGAAATACAAGGGAGTCTTGTTAATAGCAGTAGCAATGACGGAAAATCATGAGATTTTTTCGTTAGCTTACTCCTTAGTTGATAAAGAAGACGGGGATAGTTAGAGTTGATTCATGATGCATTTAATGCATCATGTAGTACCCGTTCATATGTTTGTTTGCATCATTTCTGATAGGCACGAGGGGATTGATGTAGCTTTCAACAGAATCCCTGAATTAGGAGAACAACGTGTAACACGTAGATACTACTTGCGACACCTCAGAAGCAATTTCCAGAAAAAACTCAATAGCAAGAAGCTTAAGGCTTTGATGTATCATGCAACGAGTACCCCGGATGTTTATGAATTTCATCGAACAATGCAAAAGATTCAGACACGGCGGGTAGAAGCATATGATTGGTTGATGGCTTTACCATTAGATAAGTGGGCACTAAGCTAAGATGGTGGGTCTCGGTATGGAATACTAACCACTAATCTTTCAGAAAGCTTCAATCAGGTATTGAAGGGATGTCATTCTCTTCCGGTATTTGCTATCGTGAAGACAACATATGAGAGATTAGTTAAATTGTTTGCAGAAAGGCGAACATACGGAATTACATGGTTACAAACGGGGCTTAAATTCCCAAAATATGTTTGGAATGAGGTCAGAACAATGGAAGATAATCGTTTGCATTGTCATGTTATCCCTCATGATATGCAACAGGGAATTTTTCGAGTCACTATAGAGGGAAATGTTGGGTCTGCAGGTACAGAAAATGGAATTATTGTGAATTTGAGCCAACACATCTGCACTTGCGGGAAATGGTCCACATTACATATGCCTTGTGTCCAAGTCTATGCCGTATGCCGTTTTTGTAAAATAACAGTTGATGATTTGATTCCATTGGTGTTCTCGCTGCAAAGTTACCTGAATGCATACGCAGGAAGTGTTATGCCACTACCAAATGAAATGGAATGGCCTAATGTTGGTTACGAATTAATGCGACCAAACACGGGGCAACGGTCACAACTCGGTCGTCCAATAAGTACCCGTTTTATTAATAACATGGATGTGCGACCGCGAAGACAACGTCGTGGCATGTAGTTCATTCATAAATTACTACTTGTAATTCCTGTTTATGTGGTACATTTTAATTATGCATTTCTTTTGGGCAATAACGCGCGTGTGTCTCACGCTTTTTTATATTATTTTGTTTCGAAACAAAAAACAATGCTGTAATATTTGTATTTTATTTATCTGTTTTTTCATTAATAAATTATCTATTATCATAAAAATAATAAATCAAATGAAAAACATAATTTTAATCTACACTAATTAAAAAATAAATAAAATAAATAAATGATAATATTATTTAACTAAAATAAAAATCAAATGGTAAGTGTTTGTTAATTAATAGAGTAGATTTGTAGATGGAGTTCCATTTCATCAAATGTCTCCTGCAAAAAAAATTCAAATGTCAGTCCGGTCCCACACTTCCATTATGTCAATAGAGACTTCACCATTTGGGAATGAAAATTCAATTTGTGCACTGATTGGGAAATCCCCCCACATTGTTCCCAATCAGTGCACATATTGAATTTCCATTCCCAAATGGTGAAGTCTCTATTGACATAATGGAAGTGTGGGACCGGACTGACATTTGATTTTTTTTGCAGGAGACATTTGATGAAATGGAACTCCATCTACAAATCTACTCTATTAATTAACAAACACTTACCATTTGATTTTTTTAGTTAAATAATATTATCATTTTTTTATTTTATTTATTTTTTAATTAGTGTAGATTAAAATTATGTTTTTCATTTGATTTATTATTTTTATAATAATAGATAATTTATTTTTATGGTCACAGATGTTTCCTCTTCAAAATATAACACACCTAAAATTGTTATTCACTCCCTCTATCTCTCATAGTTATTTCCATGAGCTCTTTTTATTTGTCTCCCATAAATCTTTTCATAACCTTTTTTAATATTTAAAATATTAGAATCATTTCCACTTATTTTATTTATTACACCTCACCACCACATTTAATATATTTTACCGACTTTCATTAAGGGTATTTTGGTAAAATATCACATTTTCCACTATCCTTAAAAATTACTCCGTATAAAATTGAAATGAGAATATCTTAGGAGGACGTTGTGAGTAAAACAATTTGGTTTGAAGGTAATTTAAAACAATTGACTATTGTGAGACGTTTTGATATTGTTCTATACACACACACACACACATACATACATACATACATACAATAGCAACTTTGATGCTTGTAAAATTTAGTGAAATTTGCACTGAATAGGACTAAAACATAAGTCATTTTCCAATGTAGGACTTAAACTTTTTTATTCTTTAAATAGGACTTAATAATAACTACTGAGAAGAATAATGTCCAAGTGATTCCGGACATTTAGTTGAATGATGACTAATAGATAATGACCAATGGTCCTACATTAGGAAATAAAAACATATGATTCTATATTGAGAAAATCATTATATTTTAGTCATATTTAGGTAAATTACTCTAAAATTTATAGCAATTCGAGATTTAAATTATAAAATCCAAGAAAAAAAATCATAAAAGATTTCTAGTAAAAAATATATGTTATTTTACCATAACTTCTAGATTGCAAATTTAAGAAGGTATGTATATGCATTCATAAAAACAAGTTTATGAGGCTCCAGAAATACTTCTCACATGTTTTATTTTTTTAAGTAATGAATACATAATTCAAAAGATTTATCTTAGTTCTAAACAAATATTAACCATAAACTATTATATTTCAATTTTTTTTTAAAACTCAATGAAAATCAAACTGGCTAATACCCGAAGTATTTTTTTGGGACGAGAAGAGTACAAGGAATGTTTGGGGAATTTACCTAAATAGTACTAAAACATAGTGATTTTCTCAATATAGTACCATATATTTTTATTTCCCAATGTAGTACAATTAGTCATTGTCCTCAGGTCATTGTTCTAGTAAGGGTCCACCGTCGCTGGATATTGTTCAAACTAAATATCCATTATCACTCGATATTGTTCTAGGTACTAGAAATTATTCAAGTATTATTTAGAAAATAAAAAAGTTTAAATATTACATTGGGAAATAACATAAATTTTAATACTATTTAGTGCAAATTTCAGGAAGTGTTTAGCATTTTTATTGGGCCATTGTTTGCGTATAGGGCCTCACTAACAATTATTTGTTTTACATTTGGACTTGGAAGCCCAACTGGAATCCATTCTACTATAAGCATAAACACCTTTAGATGGGCTTTGGGTAGCATGCCATCTCAATCGTTCCTGTTCTTCTTCTTCCTCCTCCTCCTCTTCTATCCAACCCTGCTCCAGGTAATTTCTTCTTCTACAATCCATCTCCGTTTCTCGCCGCTCCAACTTCCCGCCTCATCAGGTATTCTCATTCAGGAAGTTATGTATGAAGGCATTAAACGCAATCCACTAAATGTTTTTATCGTTAGTGAAGTTTTAGATCTATGATCGAAACTCGAATCTGAAATTCTGCTGTTCAGATCTTCTATTTCCCCTGTTTATTTTTATAAGCGTTTGTATGAAACGCCACTGTATTTATCGTATTTTCACGTATCATACAAGTTCTTAAAAGCTGCATTTTTATCCAGTTTTTTGAACTGAATAAAATTCCGGTTTTTTAATTTTTTTAGTTTTGGCTAGTACATTGGTAAGTTTTTATCAGGGGTGTTTTATTTCTTAGGAAAAAGATAGGTTTTAAAGGCTGGATTGGTGGTGTGAGAATGGTGAACATTTTTAGTTCAATTTATATAACAGAGAACGTCGCGTATGACGGTATGAACACCTTTTTTTTGGATGGGGGTGAAATTAAAAAGGTTTGATTTTTCAATTAAGAACCACAAGAAATCTCTAATTTTTGCTATGTTTAGTCTTTTGCAGTATCATGCAGTCTGCACAACTCTATATCTATATTTTATTGAAAACAACAACCCACAAAGTGGGGACTATCTTACTCCTACTTTGAGAGTTGAAAGGCTGTTCCAAGAAATCCGCAGCTCAAAACATGAAAAACTAAAAGAAAGAGAGGAACAAAAAAGAAACATGCGCACACATAAATAAAACAAACTAAAACAAATTTGAGCAGTAAATCCTACACAAGAGCAGACCACTCTCCAAGGCCTACACCTCCATCCTAACCCTAGACCCTCAAATGTTTCTAAGGCAAAACACCAGTATCCCCCGTTAGGTTCTAAAACATTACCAAATGAAACGTTACATTTATGGTACTATAACTATGCGTTAAAATCAACACGATTACTTGTCAATGTATTGCTTTTTTTTTTATTTTGAGTAAAACATACTCCGTATATTATTGTTGAAAACAACAGGGGCTGAAAATGAAAGCAAATTATCACAGTTACACATTGTGAATCCGCAACACAAGAGTCGCACATGCCTGTCCATAGACTCCTATAGAGACTACTTCTAACCTTTTAAAGAAGTGCCTTTTCTTCTGTATGTTATGAACGGAATCGAAAAACAATATATGCGAGATAGATCTATATTTTTGAATGGATATTGATCTTTACACCAATTTAAATGGTGAATTGTACTATAGAGCCAATGTTTTTTAAGATAAAATATAGCCTCGAGTAGGTGGTACACTTTGGTGAGAGGCGTAAGTCTCTAGTCGGAATGAAGCATAGGCCTCAATTTGACTTGACAAAAAAATAAATGTGCAAGTTCTCCAGGTATACAAAATGCATTTGTCAGGCTTAAGCCTCTGAGGCTTAAAAAGCTTAGCCTTTGTGCCTCAACGCCTCAAGGTGGTATGTCTCAAATGCTTTTGAAAACCATGGATGGAACTAGTGGAGGTTCTACAAAATTCAGTGCCACATTGTTTAAAAAATTCCCACAGGCTTTACTGATTGTAGCCTTAGAAATCTGGTCTTGAACTTCAGAAATCTTGTCGATCCATTTCACATCTTATTTATGTTTCAATTCTAGAATATTCATCTATTATGTACTTTTAATTTGCTTAAACAAACTCTGTTAAGTATTTCACTTGCCTGTGATGGTGCATAAAAGCCAGATAATGGACAACTTTTTGTATGATCATCCAACCTTGCTTTTGCCTGTACCACTGTACCAGATTGATACGTAACAAAACTATTAAAGTTGTGGTTATTTTTTGTATGCATGGGTCCACAATTAATTAATGTTCCACAGACCACAATCATAAGTGGTGCAACTGTATTACTGTATCAGTTGGATTTGTTGGGATAATTGGAAAAAAAACTGCATAATTATATATGTATATAGTAAGATTTGGTAGTCACGATATTTGTAATACATATTGTACTATGAATTGTAGTGCAATGTTATATTTATTATGAATTGTAATGTTACCTGCAGATTCTTGGAAATGGGTAGTTATGCTAAACCTGAGAATGCTTTGAAGCGTGCAGAAGGTTAGTGATACTGAACTCTGTAATTATCAAAACCATTAAATGATCTTTTTTTGCTATACAAGACTGTGCTATATATCTTTTATACAATTGACAACTAGGCTTTGACGACTTATATAAGAATGCTTAATTTTCATAGTTTCATACTTGTACTTACTGCTTTATGTTGGTGCAGAGTTTATCAATGTTGGTCAAAAGCAAGAAGCCCTGCAGAGTCTTCATAGTCTTATCACCTCCAGGAGGTACAGGGCATGGCAAAAGCCGCTTGAGAGAATCATGTTCAAGGTTGTGGAGCTGTGTGTGGATTTAAGAAGTGGAAGATTTGCCAAAGATGCTCTCATTCAATATCGAATTTCCTGCCAGCAAGTTAACATTAACTCATTAGAGGAGGTGATAAAACTTTTTTTGCATCTTGCCACCGAGAGAGCTGAATTGGCACGCACCCAAGCCCAGGCACTAGAGGAAGCTTTGGATGTGGATGATTTGGAGGCAGATAAGAGGCCTGAAGATTTGATGCTGAGTTGCGTCAGTGGAGAGAAGGGTAAAGACCGATCTGATCGCGAGCTTGTCACTCCTTGGTTTAAATTTTTATGGGAGACATATAGAACTGTGCTTGAAATCTTGCGAAACAATTCCAGGCTTGAGGCTTTGTATGCTGTAAGGCCAACTGATTTCTCTCTTTTATCTCTCTTTCCTATACTTCATATATTGTATGTTTTGTGTGTGTTTGTATTGATTGTTTTTTTCAACAATGTATAGATGACAGCACACCGGGCCTTCCAGTTTTGCAAGCAGTACAAACGGACAACAGAGTTTCGTCGTCTTTGTGAAATCATTAGAAACCATCTTGCAAACCTAAACAAGTACAAAGATCAGAGGGACCGTCCTGATCTTTCTGCTCCAGAAAGTTTGCAGTTATACCTGGACACTAGATTTGAGCAGCTAAAAGTTGCCACTGAACTTTGTCTGTGGCAGGTCTGTGTGGTTCTCTTGGCATATTTGTTTATGTTTATGTGGAACGGTTCACAAGGAGTATTCATTTCAAGCATTCTAAGAAGCATACATTTGAATAAATAATCTGAATCCATTACCATTTTGCAGGAAGCTTTTCGCTCCATTGAAGACATTTATGGATTGATGTGTCTTGTTAAGAAAATCCCTAAAACATCGTTGTTGGCTATTTACTATGCTAAGCTTACTGAGATATTTTGGATATCATCCAATCATCTCTATCATGCTTATGCATGGCTCAAGCTTTTCTCCCTCCAAAAAAGCTTCAATAAGAACATTAGCCAAAAAGATTTGCAATTGATAGCATCATCTGTTGTCTTAGCAGCACTTTCAGTGCCACCATATGATCATTTATATGGTGCATCTCATTTGGAGCTTGAAAATGAGAAAGAGAGGAGTTTTCGGTTGGCTAATTTGATAGGATTTGATGTGGAACCAAAAGCCGAGAGCAGAGAAGTGGTAATTTTTAGTGTTTGCTTTTATCTATGTGTTATTTAACCAACTAACCCTTATGTGTCTGCTCTATATGCATTAGCTGATGGAATCATTTTTTTGTCCAGCTCTCCCGTTCTTCTCTTCTTTCAGATTTGGTAAGCTACTTCTGTTCACTGTTTTGCTATGCAAAAAAATAAATTTATTGTTATCATTATTTTTATGATATATGCTTTTAATAAAGTAATAAACTATAGTGCACTGATTGTGGGAACTAAGAAACAAGGCAGTTTGAAGAAATGTGAAATCAGTATCATTCATCTGTGCAATTGCACATTGTGTTTCCTTGTAGCTTCAGTAACCTTTATTTTTTTTTTCAATTTTTTGATATTTATCTTTAGGTTTCCAAAGGTGTTATGACATGCACTACTCAGGAAGTGAAAGATCTTTACCACGTCCTCGAGAATGAATTTCTTCCTTTGGATCTGGCATTGAAAGCACAACCTTTATTGATCAAGATCTCAAAATTTGGGGGTAAACTTATGTCAGCTTCATCTGTGCCTGAGGTTCAATTGTCTCAGTACATTCCTGCTTTGGAAAAATATGCTACCCTGAGGTTGCTGCAGCAGGTGTGCATTTATTTATCAAATATACTTTTGACCTTGGATATTATGTTTTTTTAAGGTAATTTGGATTTTATGATGCTCCCGTGAAACTGAATTGTTTCCTTTCACCTCATATTTTCAGGCATCTCAAGTGTATCATACAATACAAATTGAAAACTTATCTAGAATGGTCCCTTTCTTTGACTTCACTGCTGTTGAAAAGATTTCAGTGGATGCTGTTAAGCTTAACTTTGTTGCCATTAAAATTGATCATATGAGGGGTGCTGTATACTTTGGCAAACAGGTTCTCATGTCTTCCACAATTAATAAAATCTCTGTTTTTTCGTTGTAACTTCACGTGCATGCCTGTTTGTTTGAAGTATGTAATCTGTCATATTACTTTGTTTTTCTTGTTCTTTTTTTCCCGATTTTGAAGAGGAATGCAGTATTAGAAGCCATTTGACTTTTATAAATATGTTTTTAGAGTATTGAATCAGAAGGCCTTCGAGATCACTTGTCTGCCTTGGCCGAGTCCTTGAGGAAAGCAAGGGTAATGATCTACCCTCCTACGGAAAAAGCTGCAAAACTTGGAGATGCAGTTATTGGGTTGACAGAAGTAGTTGAGAAAGAACACAAGAGACTTCTTGCTCGGAAGTCAATCATTGAGAAGCGCAAGGAAGATCAAGAGCGGTTGCTCCTTGAGAAGGTTTCTACTACTTGGTTGCATTTTCCTATATGTTTCATTGTTTTTACGTAATAAAATTATATAAATGTTCATGTTATAAATTTAAAGGAACGTGAGGAAGAATTGAGAAGACTAAAACAACAAAAAATAACTGAAGAGGCTGAGCAGAGAAGACTGGCTGCTGAGTTTGAGGAGCGAAAGAATCAAAGAATTCTCAGGGAAATTCAAGAGAGAGAGCGGGAAGAAGCCCGAGCTAAACTGGAAGAATCTCAAAAAGGCACTAAAAAGAAGGGGAAAAAACCAATACTAGATGGAGTATGTACACTTCTGGCCTTCTTTTTTTCTTTTTCTTCTCTTCTTATACCTTAAACATCTTTGGAGTTTTGAAATTGCTATTTGTATGTAGGAAAATATAACTAAACAGACTGTGATGGAATATGTTCTGAGTGAGCAACTCAGAGAGAGACAAGAAATGGAGAAAAAACTGCAAAAGCTTGCCAAGACTATGGATTATTTGGAGAGAGCTAAAAGAGAGGAGGCGGCACCTCTAATACAAGCTGCCTTTCAACAGCGGCTAGAGGAAGAGGCTGCTCTCCATGAACGAGAACAGCAGGTCTGCCTAAGAATAAGCTGTTTTTGTACTCATTTTTTTAATCTATAATTCCTATTCCATTGAAACTAATGATTTGATACCTAATCTGATACTTGAGAATTTCTATCAGCTGATCAATCGTGTACTATTTCTCTTTCCAGCAAGAGGTTGAGTTAAGCAAACAACGACATACAGGCGATGTTTTAGAGAAGAAGAGGCTGAGTCGCATGATGGAGAACAAGGTGTGTATCTTATTCTACTCTCGTTGATATCTTTTTATGATAATATGTGTTCATCATGTGACGCTTCGTGGATGCTAATATGCTATTACTGTTATCGAACTTTGCTTATTCTTCTTCTAGAGAATTTTTGAAGCAAGAATTATCAGTCGTAGAGATGCTGAACAAAGTAGAATGAAAAGGGAGAGGGAGGAACGCATTAACCAGATTATCCAGTCTCGGAAACAAGAAAGGGAAGCTAAGAGGAAGATGATATTCTTTTTGAGAACTGAAGAGGAGCGTCTGAGTAAGTTGCGTGAGGAGGAGGAAGCTCGTAAGCGTGAAGGTATTTTATCTATTCCTATGACGCATTCATATAAATATTCAAGTTTTCCGTTTTTTTACTTTTCCCTCTTTTGTCAACACTTGCATAAAGCCGAGGGGTATGGGATGAGAAGGGGCAACGGGAAAGCGCCAGGTCAGCACGGGAAGGAGGGGAACACCGCCCCCTTTGACGGGAGCAGGAAGGACGGCTTCCCTATCCCGTTTTCCCCGTTGCTATTTACCGAGTTTTTTTAAAGAGGCGGAGAGAGTAATTGAGGCATCAAGGGGTTGTTTTTTTTAGCTATTTTGTTTTTTTTCTATTTTTAGTTTTTTAGTTTTTAATTTTAGTTTTTTTGTCTAATGCAATTTAAAAAAATTACGGAGTAAGAAAAATAAATTTAATGAAATGTTTTTTTGAGGGAATGACGTTAATTTAATTATGTACCTTTACTTTTTTTATTATCTACTTCTAAATTAAATTATAATGAAATGTTTAGTTTAAGTTTTTGGTTTAATTAAAATAAAATAATTGTTAAAAATAATATCCAAAATGGAAGGGAAAGAGGGAGGGAAGGGGAACCACACCGCTGAAAGGGGGGATGAAAAAGGAGAGTAAAACGGAAAGCTGACGTGGTGTTGAGTTGTTAGTTGGCGATGAGGAGAACCATATGTTGGGCTTTGTGGAGGCTTGTGCCCGGCCCAGTTGTGCGTAGCCCTAGCTATTTCCCTATATATATAGAGGGCTTGTATTTGTAATCTTGGCACCACAAGTGAAAGTAATAAAATCCTCCTAGTTGCCCCGTGTGGAGTAGGTTGCAGTTGTGGACCGAACCACGTTAAATTCTTGTGTGTCGTTTGTGTTCCGTTTCTCTCATTTCTCGCAGATTATTTGTGTGTGTTGTGTGTTTAATTCCCAACACCATACCCCTCAACCTAACATTTAGCCCCTATTGTTTGGTTAAAAGAGTTCGAAGGATCGATTATCAGCATTGGTTTACATTATTATTGTTGTGCATATACATTACCAGTTCATATATATTGCGAGTATTTTTAGTCAAACATCCCCTCTCCATTCAACGAAACATATTGTTTTATTTTTTATTTTTTCACAACTCAATTTTCTCCTTCCGTACATTTGAATGTGGTGATGGGTATAGTCCGAATATGGTATCGATCTTCTTTGTGGTTGCGTGTTTGACTTCATAACAGAAATGGAGAAGCGCAAGAAAGAAGAAGCGGAGCGCAAGGCCAAACTGGACGAGATTGCCGAAAAGCAGAGGCAAAGAGAGTTGGAACTTGAAGAGAAGGAGAGGAAGAGGAAAGAACAGCTCCTGGGCAAGTCCGAGCCTGTGGCACGTCTCCCAGAAGCTGCCCCAACTGCCCCGGCAGCAGCAGCACCGGCGCCTACAAATAAGTACGTGCCCAAGTTCAAGCAGAGGATGGGGGAAGGTGCATCCCAGGCGGCGGCACCAGCGGCTCCTCCTCCCGAAACCGAAAGATGGGGTGGAAGCCGCCAAGACGACAGGGAGAAGTGGGGCGGTGGCAGCAGGGGAGGAGGGTGGCGCGATGATCGTGACCGAAAACCATTCGGTGCCGGCTCAAGGCCAGGAACATGGTCCTCTTCTAGGAGCCGTCCATAACGCCAACTAGTAAGTTGATACATAATTTATATGGCACTTCCCATTCCCCTTAACAAGGCACAATCAATCTTTTGAGTTTTTTTTTTCTTCAAGAAATCGGCGTTTATTCGTTCAAACAAGTTCTCTTTTTGGCACATTAGGAAGAAAATGACATTTTGTGGACTTGTAGCCCTTCACTGTTTAGGGTCTACCAAATGTGAGATGGGTATTGTTTCTCTTTATATTTGTCATTTTATGTGTGTTATGACCAAATTTTGGGGGAATTAGTGGCAATTTAAATTTTGAGAATGACAATATCAAATTTTGGGGGATTAAGGTCATCTTTGCTTTTATTCTATCTATCCTACAATGACAACAAGTACATGAATGCTTGAGACCTCACACCATTCTTGTGGGGGGCGCATTAACAATATTTCTTCTTTCCTTTGTCTTACTATATTTTTCCTTCTCTTTGGATTTTTCAGTCTAATGTAATATGTTTATTAATATTTCTATTTATGTCACGCATTAATATAGATTATAAAAATATGATACTTTAAAACTACATTTCTAGATGAAAATTGATATTAAATTTATTTATAATTCAATATATTTTTTTAAATATTTGTTTTCAAAATAATAATAATAATAACAACAATAGTCAAAGCGAGAAGTATTAAATTTAGTTCATTGTTCAATGTATTTTTTTCATAATTTGTGTTTAAAGTTTAAAAATATTAATAACAGTTAATAATAATAATCCAAATGAGAAGAAAGGTAATGGGGCAAACCGGCAAATCATAATAATGTACTTCCGTCCCAAAAAGAGTTTCCTACTTTGATTAACGTGCAAAATCTCGTAAATTTTAAAATGATTTTATTTGAAAATCGGTAAAGAAATAACACATGAAAAAATTATATTTAAAAACTACATCGAAAACTCTACAAAATAAGAGGTGACAAGAATATTTTATTTTATCAAATGATCAATGAAAACACGCAAACAAACAAGAGTTATCGAGAGACCGTAATAGTAAACATGAAAGACTTTTTGGGACGGATGGAGTAGTAATCAAGTATTCCCCCACCATCAAATCTCTACATTGTGCACCAATAATTTTATGCATCCTTACCAAAAATATATTAGGAGTATTTAGTTACTCATATCTCTCATAGATCTTCTCAAGTTAAATGTTTATTAATTTTAAGAAAAGTTGAAAAAAGTAAAAATTTACTAAAATATCCTCAATAAAATTGGATGGAGTAATTTAAAAGAGATGGGTGATTGTACTCTGATATAAATAAAGTGAGGTAGTTCTCGTATTTTAAATGTTAAAAAAAATAATAGAAAGATTTTTTATCGATAAACAAAAAGGGAATTTGGAAAGATTTATGATAGAAGAAGGGAGTATAATATTTGACGAAATGTAATTATGAAATGTTTTTTCTATAAAAAAGTATAAATTGAGTCGTCAAAATATAGCAATCTAAGAGACTTGGGAGTAGGAGCAAGTTAAAGTCGAATCATTGGAATAAGAATTAAGAATATTAAAAAATAAAAAATGAAAAATATATAACTAATAAATTAATTTTATATTTTTGCATTAATGGTTCAATTAAAAAAGTAACTCTCACTTTTGTATTCTCAATTTGTGAGAATTTGTCTTGTACCATAACTTGAATCTTTTTTTTTTCAATTTAGTGCCAAATAAATCCGGTTGGAAATAATATTCGATATTTTTGTCTAACCCCATCAAAATGAGATTAAAAAAAATATGACTAGAGAGAAATATGACTATAATTATGAAATGATACAACACTTGCCATTACTCAAAAATTAATGCATGAAGATTCCATACCTTACATTAAAGGCTCTAATGATATGTTCCACAATCCATAACATGGAGTACAATTAATTATTATTATTTGTTGCATACCCACTAAGACTTATAAATAGATAATAGAGTAAACAATAAAAACACAACTAGAATTTCACATGTTTTTAGATTCCTTGATCAATTGATTGCTGAAATCCCAAAGTTTTTTGCCCAAAGCTTCCTTTCTAGCAAGCTTTGATGGCTTGCACTCGTTGCAATCAACAAAGTACTTTCCCGACACACCTTTCAGATCCGGATGAAGAGCCACATAACAAGTTGTAGCTGCACCCTGAATTGAACACCAAACGAATTTCATCAAATAATAGTAACAATTACTCTTTTTATTTTAAATTTGTAAATTTCTCACTCCGATTTAAACTAATAATTTCTTAAAAGCAAATTTTTTTAGAAAATGAATGACTAATTCTGGACGGAGAGTGTACAAATATAGTTTATACTAATCAGGGATAACATACATCATATCATTTAATCTAGTTAAAATGTTTTTGTTTTAATTTTCAATAAAAATAAATAATACCTCATATATCTTTGTTGTTAAATAAAATGGCTTACGTACCTGAGGGACATTCTTCCAAATCACACAAGTGAAAATCCTCAAAATATCTACAAAGAATTGAAAGTGTCTTCATTATTACTCCCTCCGTCCCAAATTATAATGTCTGTTTACTATTCACAGGGTCAAACTTTATTCACTTTCTTTCTCTATTTTCATTTGCAATTTGATAAAATAAAATATTATTGTCAGTTTGTCACTACTAGTTTTGTAGATCTTTTGATGTAGTTTTTTAATATGTAATTTTTATTTTTTAATTCTATACCATTTGTCATATAAAATGGTTTGAAAATAATTTTAGTCAAACATCGTAAACCGAAACAGGCGTTATAAATTGGGACGGAGGTAGTAATTATTTACTCTATTGGTCATTATAACTTCTGAAACACATTTAAAAAGTTGAACGAACATTGACAGGCATCGTGCCTATATTCATTCAATTTTTGATGTATCACAAAAGTCATAATCATCAGCTAATAATGAAATGAAAGAAGCACATTTGGACTTTGAATATAGTATGAAATGAAAGTACATTTGGACTTTGATTATACTCCATAATTAATAATTGATGTGATTTGGTGAATATGATTTATTTATACATACTCATCAAAAGGGTTGAGTGTCTCATAAGATTTGTCATTATCACCCCTGGGTGCACTGAATTCACACTTATATTTGCCCCCTCTTCCTGCACCAAAATTCAAAATTCATGTGTTCAAATATTTATTAGTATAAAAGTGGCAATTTGGTATTTGCAACCTATAAGTTGACTACCACATTTTAGTTTTGACTCTCTACTCCCTTGATCCCAAAAAAAAACTTTTTCTGCTTTGATATTTTTTTACACTATTCAATTTTAAATTAAACATGATTTATATAATAAATGTTATAAAATTTTGATATATTAAGAGAACATCCTAATAAGATGATAAAAATTGACTTCATTTTCGTATCATTGTTTGACTTAAAAAATACGTAGTACATTCTAAGATGAACTCGCATGTTTTACTATAATATTAATTAACTCCGAATCAAATGAGTAATAAAAATTAGTTAAATTAAAATAAAATTTGATCATGGAAAATAATATTCTAAGTTTGGTTACCCGTAGACGTCGAGACAACTCATTGGCATGCAATATGTTTGCAAGCTTGGACTGTCCATAGGCCATTTTGTCATTATAACTGATCCAAATTCAAGTGAAAAAGAAATGCGAGTTGAGAAACACAATTTGAATATCAAATGTGGTCAAATTTTATTAGTTTAAATGACAAAAAAGAAGTGCAATAAATAAATAAATAAATAAGGGATAGTCTTTTTCTTGTTTGAACAAGAAATGAAATAAAAGGTTATAATGGTAATTGATTACCTTTTCTTATCATTCATATGGTCAAATTTTATTCCTTTTCTATAAGGATAGCGGTGGGCTATTGACGACAAATTGACGATTCTGCCCTCAATGCCAGAAGCCTTTGCAGTTTCCTTCATTGTGTCCAGGAGAAGGTTTGTCAAGTAAAAATGACCTGAAATAAATAAATAAATAATAAGTATATATAGTTTTACCGTCTCCAAAACAATGGCGGATCCACCTTCAAGCAGTTTGGGACAAATTTTTGAACGTAACAATGAAAATATAAAATTACATTAATGATCAAACATATTAAACATTATAAATAGGGGAAGCATATTTCTCATATTCCAGACTTGCCGGTCCAACCTAAAAACCATCCGATTTTGGACCAGATACCGGTTCTCAACCCTTGGACCGGAAACCAACACGGAAATCAATCGATCTAACCCGAAACCGGTTCTTTCAGTCCGGTCCAAACCAGATTGTGTTCACCCTTATTATCATTAGTGAGAGGAAAAAAATTAATTAACAAGATGAATGTGTTTACCAAGATGGTTGGTTGCAAATTGCATCTCATGCCCATCTTGGGAAAGCTCAAATGGGGTGAACATGATGCCTGCATTGTTTCTGCACTCCAAACGTTAATAACATATAGATTAATGAATTAATAACGATCATTAGTTGAACTAGATAATCGATTAAATCCTATCTCTTAAAAGATTCCAATCTAAGCGTGTTGTTATACTTCCTCCGTTTCACAAAAATGTCTACTAAGGTTTATTGGATGCATTAAACTTTGAATAAATGTAGACATATTTAAGTCTACATTCATTCAAAATCTAATGTATCTAATACTCCTTAATACACACTCATTGTAAAATGGAAGGATTAGGTCATAATGTGAAACATAGCTTTTATTCTTTTCAATATATTCTTATTACTTACTCTGTATTAGTTGTTCTTCAAAAAATCAGATCAGATTAAATCAGAGATTACTTTATATTTAATTGAAATCAGATCAGATCAGACAAAAAAAACTTTCTTACATCAAGATGTTGAGAGGGAGAGAGAGGGCTTTGAAGTCATCAGCAAAAGCCTTAATGGATCTCAATGAGGAGAGGTCAAGTTTCATGACATCAACTCGGGCCGTTGGGTTGTCTTTCAAAATGTGGGCTTTGGCCTCTTTTGCGGTCTCTGTGTTTCGGGCCGCTATGATGACATGGGCCTTCCTCAGTGTTAACACCCTCACCGTCTCCAGCCCAATTCCACTCCCACCGCCTGCATACACATTCATATTCACCATCCAAAACTTAGCAATATATATCGTACAACTTGTTTTAAGGTGTTTTTCGTACATTCGCGATGAATGTATTCATTTTTCTATGTTCGAAAATGAGTATTTAGTTACTTGAAAAGGAATATTGAAGTGGATATACGAGAAACACTATACGTCTGAATGTATGATATAGGTACTCCCCAAATTTAGATAAATTCTTAGATAAAAAGAGTGTTCTTTGGTGCACTCTGGGTGTATATCATTTTTGTGGACCTTTTCACATAAAAAATATTTTTTTATTATTTTTATTTAAAAAAAATGCTTATTTTGCTCTTGGGTTCATGGTGAACCTTAAATCCATTATAAAATTTGCCTATAAAAATATCAATCTTTTCACGAAAGTAATAAGTTATTACTTGAAGTAAAATGTTTCTAAATAGGAATAAAATGGCATGAAGATATAAAAATAAGAATAATAAAGTTTTAATTTCCTAAATAAGAGTATGATTGCAATGTGGCAATCTAGTAGTAGACTACTATTTCTTTTTTAGGATGAATTTTTTTTATTTGTTAAGACTTAAAGAGAACATTTTTTAATTCTCTTTTTGAAATAATTCATCAAGTTCAATTCCCTTCTACACCTTCTGTGCCGAGAATTTATCATTTTATCTATTTTTTTAGTTCGTTTCAAAATAATTATTCAACTTCCTCATTATCTTAATAAAATAAAAAACATATTGTCACAATTTCTTTTCCTTTCTAAAAAATTTTCAACTACTAACTATTTTAATTTTTTTACATTTTTCTTAGACTCGTGATATTAAATTAAGATAATTAATTCCACCAGATAAAGTAATAAGTAAATGGGGGGCCAATATGCAGCCATTGTGTACCTAACAGGCTTGAAGTTAATAACTCAATATCATAGATTCATAGGTAGTCCTACACACCCCACACCCATGCCATGAGTTGGGTGACCCATGCCCTACATAAAATGAACTCCTATAATTTCTATAGGCCCCAATATTAAATTTAAGGTAAAAAAAAAAAAGAATTTGCACGAAGTACAAAATAAATCCTTCTTTTCTAAAGTGTTTGTCTAGTTTTAATTTTTTTTGAAATTAATCAAAATCAATCTTTGATTTATAATTAAAGTACTATATGATATATACCATATCCGTTTCACAAAACATTTCTGATCTAATTTTTCGCGCATCCTTCAAAACACTTTTACCCAACCTCAAATGTCTAAAATGCACTCCCATTTCGTAATTTGTTGCGGGTAGAAGTTATTTCGAGAATATTTTAGATATTTTAGGTGGAGTAAAAGTGTTTTATGAAGTGCACAAAAAATTAGGGCAGAAGTATTTGTGAAACGGAGGAACTCTAACCACAAAAAAACCAAAATGGACAAACATTCCTGGACTTTTAATAAGTCACTTTTAATAATTTTTTGTTAATTTTTTTTAGAAAATACTGTTAGTTAAATGTTTGGTATGAAAAGCAATACAAACAACTAAAAGAGAATAGAGGGAGAAGGAGAAACAAAACGGTAACAAACTACTCTTTTGTGTCGTTTTAAATTCTTTACACTTCCAAATTAGCATTAGTGAGGTTATTAAAAATATATTTAACCTTTTGTGTACACTTTTTCACATCATCTTTAATATGGTGCCAGCAGTTTCACTCCCCCTATTAGACCATGTCTTATGGTCAGACTTGACAGGAACTTGACGGAGTATAAAGAAATATGACGTGAGGTAATAAATATATGTGTGTTATGGGGGTGCATGAAAAAGGGACGTGACAAAAAGTGATGAGGTAAAGATGTGAATTATTTTAATTGGTTAAAAAGTGACGCCACTTCCGTCAAGCCCCATATAGCCTTATTTTAGTAATGTCATTTTCAACGTAAATGCGACTATTAATTAACATTTTTATTTTATTGTGTTTGTCTAAAATTCCTTGATATTTTTCCTATTAATATTGGAAAGGGACTATGATAGATTGGTAGGTACATAACAACTAACAAGACGCAAGTCAGTTGTAAAAGAACAACTAACACATTAATCTTGTGAATAAACCTAGCGGTACATTAAAATGGGGTAACCCATTTGTACGCAAGTCAGAAGAAGATGGATATTTAGTGTCTGCAGATCACAGACACTAAATGTTTGTGTTTGTCTGTATTTGTCTGGTGTACAAATGAAGTATCTCATTTTAGTCTACCCTAGCATGCCCCTAAAATGACGTTGTAGGCCATTTTGTTTACTTTTTGACTACTACAACTATTAATCTAATACTCCCTCCGCCCCCATGTATTTGTCCACATTTAACTTTTGGAACTGTTCATCTAAGCACTTTGACTAATCAAATTCTCTCAATGTGTAAGCCTAAATATAGTCATGTGTGATCTTGTTTGATTTGTCTTAACATATAGATTATTAATATATAATTTCTATAATTTTTTAATATACAAATTACAAAATAAAATGAATTAAAGAAATGCATTGGTTAGTGTGTAAAAATGAAAGTGGACAACTACAGGGGACCGAAGCTAGAACGATGCGTCTCACATTCCGGTCTAATAAGATAGTGAGAGTAAATTATGATACAACCTTTTCCAGTCATTCAAAAGACGGTCTCGTGCCTTATGATTTTGCTTATTAATCTATTATACTCCCTCCGTCTCACTCTTTTTGTCCACTTACCTTTTAGCACGCCATCCAATGCATTTCTTTAATTTATTTTATCTTGTAATTTGTATATTAAAAAATTATAGAAATTATATATTAATAATCTATATGTTAAGACAAATCAAACAAGATCACACATGACTATATTTAGGCTTACACATTGAGAGAATTTGATGAATCAAAGTGCTTAAATGAACAGTTCCAAAAGTTAAATGTGGACAAATACAGGGGGACGGAGGTAGTACCATTTATACATTACTTAAAGAGATTTATATTTGTATTTTGTATGAAAAAAAAAACAATACTATTCTAAGAATCAGATATTCATTTGTATTTTGTACATGGCAGGGCCGGTCTCGAAAAATGAAAAAATAAAATTGGTTCGGTCCAAAATTTACATTTTGTGCCCTATTTTACATTTTTAGAATACTTTTGCTTTAAAATTATTAACAAATTTAAAAATATGGTGCCCTAAATTTTAAGGGGCCCTGTGCGATTGGCCATTTTGCACATCCTCCGGACCACCCATGGTACATGGTATAATACAAAGAATCAGATATTACATTATAATGGAATTAATAGTATTAAAAAAGAGTAACAAAACAACAATCTACTTAAAAAAATGTTCTTATTTATTGTCAGCGTTTTAAAAATGCATGATACAAATCGTTGAGATTATCAAAAGCCTTTGTTTTGGCTTATTTGACTTGGGTTCCCATTTGACAAAAGCATTAGAGTTTACTTTTAATCTTTTAAAAATGCTATCTAACACTGGGATTTAATGTAAGTGCTTCAAAATTAATTTACATAGTTTAATTTTTTTTCAAAATATTATTTCCATACATACTCTTGAATGCAGTATCATATAATGCATGTACGACATTCAACTATCCTATATATCCTATCCTATATATATATATATATGTAAAGTTGAGTATGTTGGTTGTGGTGTTGGCATGTGGCATGCCACATGTGCATCCACATGTGCACTAATTGATGAGATGATGGCATTTCATTGGTTCATTAAGCTTCTTTTTTAAAGATCTTTTAATATATTTTATTGTATTATATTAAATGAATATTATTTTTTTGCATGAATAACATTACTTTGATTATATTTTCTATAAAACTTTAAAATTTTCTAACGATTCTATAAATATATATTTCACTATTTTAAAATATATTACGTATTTTAAATATGCATAATGATTGTAAAATTTTAAAAAAGAGTATGTATAATACTCTCCATATTAATTTAAAAATATTTCACTTTCAAAAAATGAAAAAATATTTCACCTTCAAAGATACTCCCTCCGTCCCTAAATACTCACAACATTTGCTTTTTCAACAGTCGCGAGAATTTTTGTTTATTTCGACGTTTTCATTGGTTATTTGATAAAATAAAATATTCTTGACACCTCTTATTTCGAAGAACTTTTCATGTAGTTTTTTGATATGTAAATTTTATTTTTTATTTCTTTACCAATATGTAAATAGAATGAGTTGAAAAAACTTGATATTTTCCCTCGGTAATAGAAATGTGACAAATAATTTGGGACGGAGGAAGTATTAAATTTTTTTAGGCATTTTTAAGTTTTATTTAATGTAATACTTTTTTTAATAAAATAGTTATAGAATTTTTAGTGCATGTACTTCAATATTTAAAGTATACTTTTTATTTAAAAAATATACTCCGTATATCTTAGAGTGAAAAAAATATTCATTTAAAATAAATAAAATTATATTTATAAAATGTCAAAATTTTAGAATGTATACGAGTCTGTGCGAAGCACGGAGTTGACACTAGTATTCCATATTATTCGTGTTTTCAGATCAATTAGATTCAATATTAGTGTGAGGTTTAAATTAGAGTAAATTCCATAAATAATTTCCAATTATATGTAATTTTCTATATTTAATACCAATTACGGAGTATAAGATATTCCAAAATAGTCTTCCATTTTTGAAAACTATTCCACAAATAGTCCTTTTCACGAATTATGACAAAATATTTTGAGAAAATTCTCAAAATGATAATTGATATGTGTTTCTTGAATAGTCTTTTATCAAAAATATCTCTTAAATGACAGTTAAGTATAGAGTATTTTGATGCTCTTTATTATCTAAACTATGAATAAGTCATAAAAATGATTTTTTTAACTTTCTTCACTTAATTTAACTTATCATTTATTAAAATATTATAGTCATATCAGTTCTTGCTTTTTAGAGAATATAATTTTTTTTTGTAGTTTTAAAATCTGCAGTATATAGTGATTTATTTTAAAATACCACTCGAGTATCTTTATTTAAAGAAATTAAATTGAGAAATAAATTAAATCAAATATCTTAACCCGAGTTTTTTAAATTAATATCTTTTCCCAAAATCTCGGTCAAAACTCATAAAATTGACCAAGAATGAGCAAACAAAAACGTGAGGTCAAGGCTACCTCCTCTGACCCCATAAGAACCGGCGGCACCCTTTATACCCCGGAGCAGAAAAACGCCAAAAAAACAGAGGAAACATGCCGGAAAAAAAGATATAAATCTTATTTTAAAATCAAAATATTGAAGATCTTATTATTATTATTATGAGAAATTTACCTAAATAGGACTAAAACATAATGACTTTTCCAATATAGGACCATATGTTTTTATTTCCTAATGTAAGACCTTTGGTCATTATAAAGTAGTCGTTATTCAAGTAAATATCTACGGAGTATCATTACTGGACATTATTCCTCCCACTAGGTCATTATTAAGTCCTATTTAGAGAATAAAAAAGTTTAAGTATTACATTGGGAAAGTTATTATGTTTTAGTCCTATTTAGTGCAAATTTTACTATTATTATTATATTGAAGATCTTACTTTGATATATGAAACATCTGTTTTGGTCGAAAAAAACCCGCAAAAAATTTGGGTGAAGGATCTGCTTGAAAATAATGTTAGACATTAGCGTTACCGTTCTGGATAAAATTTTAACCGTAAATTTTAACAGATCAATCTGAAAATACTAACGCTAACGCTGCTCGTAGATAGCATTTTCAAGACGCTAACGCTAATATCCAACGCTATTACCAAAGAGGCCCGAAGAATGGGTTCAAAAAAAAGGGGGATCCAAAAGAGAAAAAAAATGAAAAAAGAAGGGAAGAGGAAACAAGCCTGTAACAATGGCGGTGAGATGAGAGGCATCAATGGCGTGTGTGACTTTCTCTGCAGTGGAAGCAGAGCCGAACCCACTTGGCCCTCTTATCCCTGTTATCGACCTCAACATTATTATTATTATCTTTCTCTCTTTAATTTCTTTCTCTCTTTCTTTCTTTCCCTTTTTGAACAAAACCAAGAAATGGGAGAGGAATAAAAGAGTGATTGTGTGTGCCTTTCTTCCTAAGCTTTTTGTGATTCTTTGCATATGGCACACACCCAACCTTCCCCTATTTATTATGTATAGGAACTAACTACTAGGAATAGAAATTAGAATATACTCCCAGTCTCCCGGTGGACGTACCTCAACTGGTTGAGCAAAGATACTCGGAGATCTACCTAATTGCCTTGATTGGGGACACTTGCCCCCGGTCAACTTTTTTTGCCCCGGTCCAATAAAAAAATTATTTCCAAAAAAGTAAAATTATTCAAATATAGTGTAAAAGCTTAGTATTTACTCTAGTGACACTAAATATACTTTGTAGTTGGTACTATATAATTCATTTAGTATTATATTTTACGGAGTACTACTTTTGAAATATTTTGTTTTACTTATTTTCATCATAATTTAAAAATACTTTTAAAAAAATTCGGGGGCATTGCCGAACCCTTTCCTTACTACACTACCCCCAGTCATTTGCAATCTTAGATTCGCCACTGAACAAGAAGTGATTAAGGGGCAAACCGGAGTTAAAGTTTTGTTGCGAGACAATTATATTAAACATATGGACTCTCCTAGCTGGTACTAGATGTTGGTTCCACTCTTTGCTAATCAATTTGTGATTAGAATTTAATTTATCTCCTTTTAAGTGACTGCCCCGACGGTTTTGAGGAAGTCCTCGAAGATGCGGCTCATCTTTTTAAGAACATACTTCCATCTCTTAAGTTTGAAATTTTTTAAGATATGATTTGATTTGAGGTGACAGAATACTTTTTTAACGTGGAAATGAATTTATGATAAAACTTCATTCGCTTTTCTCGTTTACTTTCACTACTTATTTCGTAATATAAAATTTGTTTTGAGAGTGATTCTCTAGTGCACCTTGGGTACATATAATTTTTGTACACTTTCTTACATAAAAAATCTTTTTTTAAAATAAATGCCCATCAAAGTAATAATAATATTATCATTATTTAAAAAAACAATAGGGAAGGGAGGAATACATAATTGGAAGGGTAATGGGGAGAAATTAAAGTGGGAGGGGGGAGTCTTGGGTTCAATTCCCACAGGGTTTGTGTGAACCAAAGAAATCGCCATACTGTGCTTTTCTACGCAATTAATCCGCTTGCCAAATCTTTCTTTCTTTCTCCACGACCCCGACGCCCATAAACTCGTCTTACTTAAACTACATCTTCATGTTCCTAAGAACACCGGAAATACCTTTACACTATGTTTTGGTTCGAAAAATTTGGAAGAGAAAGAAAAGAAAATAATTTAATTTTTCCCAGTTTCCTCACTAAAATGGGAAGAATTTGGTTCTCCATCCTCTTAGTACATTTTATCTTCTCATTTTCTTTTCTTTCCACTTTTCTTTTCTTTTTCTCTCTAACCAAACAAGAAAAATGTTTTCCTTTTTATTTTCTTTTCCTTTCCCTATCAAATTCCTTGAACCAAACATAGTGTTAACATCAGGGGCGTTTTTGCTTTTTAACGTCATGGGGATATTAAACACCGTCCTGTGGGCGTTATAGGGGGGCTTCAACTTTTAAGGGAGAAAGAAAGGAAAAGGTTGTGGACCCTCTATTGAAAAACAACAAAATAATTATATTAATGTCATTGGAAATCTTAATCTCGTCTCTCTCTTCTTGAAGTTCGGAAATGTTCAAAGTTTTCCTCTCTTTCTTTGCCTTCCTCTTCTTGGATTCCGAAAATGCTCGAAGTTCTTCTTTATCTGATACGAGTTCGCATAGATCAATTGGTGTTAGGATTAGTGTTAGACAATAATAATAATAGTATTACTTGTGGTAGTATTGGTTGTGGTAGTGCTTCATTATTAGTCAGCTTCCTAATCCTATTTGTGGTAGTTTTTTGTATATTAGTTAGTTTCTATTCTCTACTCCTAGTTGTGTTAGGAGTCTCTCCTATATATATACTCTACCATGTACTTCATAATTCAAGAGAACAATATTATTACTCCAATATTTCAACATGGTATCGGAGTCATCGCTCTTAGGGATCTAAAAGAGTTCTTTGCTTCCGTCGCCGTCGCCGGTAATTCTAGCGACGGCGACTCCACCCTATTCACCTATATTTTCTTTTCCTTCTTTTATCCTCAAATCAACTTCTCCATTCAAATGAAAAAAAAGAAAAAAACCATCAAAAAAGGAACTTCTCTCTTGTCATCTCCATGGTTCTTCAAAAAAACCCAACCCCTCTGAAACTCTCTCAACTCATCCTTGTATCTTCTCAAAATCATGGGAAAAAATGATAGTTGTTTCTCTACAATTCACTATCGAAGATTCCTAGACCTAGATCTTTTCTTCATCACCAATTCTTAATCCCCTTTTTTCTCTTTCAAATCTTTCATTCTAATCATCAGTGTTTCTTCTCTTTATCCTTTGTTAACCAATAAAATTTCAAAAAAAAACACAAAAGCAAAGCCAAGAAGGGAAGTAGTGAAAGAGGAAAGAATAACTCTACACCCCTTCAAGAAAGAAATAGGGCATTGCCCGGATCCCAGAAAAAGATAAAGAATGTCAAAGATCTTCAGTCAAACAGGCACCTCCAGTAGCCTTCTCTATTCTTCTACGATGCCAGCAGCTACAAGCGCACGTCAACCTTCTCTCTTCTTCTTCGACGTCAGCAGCCACCGGCGCATGTCAAATTTCTCTCCTTTTAAAGTTTCTAGTTTCGAGCTAGTGTCCAAGCTTACTCTTGCTTCAGCCAGAGTTCAGCTTGAGGGGGATGTTAGACAATAATAATAGTATTACTTGCGGTAGTATTGGTTGTGGTAGTGTTTCATTATTAGTCAGCTTCCTAATCCTATTTGTGGTATTTTTTTGTATGTTAGTTAGTTTCTATTCTCTACTCCTAGTTGTGTTAGCAGTCTCTCCTATATATACTCTACCATGTACTTCATAATTCAAGAGAGCAATATTATTATTCCAATATTTCAACAATTAGCATTATGGTTTCTTTATTTCCTATAAATAGCGATGTAACCCTTTCGTTCAATCAATCAATAAACAATAATCAAAACACTTTTCTCTTTTTTTATTTTCTTGGAGTCCAGAAACGCTCGAAATTTTCCATCTTTCTCTACTTCTTCTTCTTAAACTTGAAGAACGCTCGAAGTTCTTCCTTATTTAATACGATATTCGTATCAGGCTATCCCAAATCGCTCGAACCAAGGATTTTAAAACTATTCTCAAACCATTTACAACTATGGTTTCTCATCTATATGTTACTCTTACAACAAGAGAATTTCGTGACTATTCTCAACCGTTACAACAATGAAAAACATTAATGGAATACACAAAGTATTACGTAAGCAAAAGCCTCTCAAATATGAGAATTTCATGGATATATGAAAAATGAATATGTGATGTAAGACTCTTTAGTTATTCACCAAAATGAGTGCTTAATGTCCTATTTATAGTGGACATGTGGTTTAGTTACCTTTTAGGACCGTTAGAGAGTTGTTTAGAGCCAATCAGGTTGATTGAGTAGTGATTAGGTTCAAAATCAATATTTAAAATTTGACCATTGTGTGTTTTAGATCCATTGAGTTTTTTAATGCATAATATTAATTGTGAAATTTTGTAGGATTAATTAAATAACTTTGAACAGAAAATAAACTTAGTTAAGTCTCGCAATCTATAATAATGTGACGATTAATTTGGGACAGAAGAATTATATAGAGCCATCTAGATAATTGTTTTAACAAATCAGTATTGAAAAAAGAAAATAAATGTGGTCTGAGTTCAACCATGTGTGAATAATGGATATGATATTTTTTGGACATGAAAAGTATTTCAAATTAAATATTTCTAAGAAACCAACCTTTTTTTACCGTTTTAATTAAGAAATCTACCTAAGTAAGCCTACAATATGAAACTTATATGAAAATAGAATTTATACACTTTTATCACCTAAATAGGAACTTATACTAGTATGGATGTTATGAAATGCCCATAATTTGACATTGTATTTGGTATTTCATGATATTTAATTGTGGCATTATATTTTGGCATTATTTCACACGGTAAGTACTATTTTACTCCATTCATCCCATAAAATCTTTCGTGCTTTGACTTTTCTTATCAAACAGTGACACTCTTTGACTACAAATTAAATATATTTTGAATAAATAAATGTTACGAGTATAAAAAATTTATAGAGAGAATTTTATAAATGGTCCTTAATTATAAGTGATTTTCCATGTTTAGTCTCTAACTGTGAGATATTAGATAAGTGGTCCTCAATTTTTAAAAAATATTTCATAAATATTTCTTTAGGTTAAATATGTTAAAATATTTTTTCCATATATAGTCCCTGAAAGACTGAATACGGAATAACTTTCATAAACTGAGGATCCTTTATGTAATATCATAGAATTGGGACTAAATATGAAAAAACCAAATGTAATTGGTGACCATTTATAGAATTTACTAAATTTGATATATCAAAACTCTATCCTATGATTAACCCAATTATATTAAATTTACATTAAAATTAAATATATTTTTTCATAATTTGTAATTAGAGAGTGTCATTGTCTAACTAAAAAGATCAAAATAGAAAACGTTTTATGGGACGGAGGGAGTAATGTAGAAACATTGAATGTCCTTACTTTAATATTCCTATATACTCGGTACATATTACTCTTATATAACTCCATCAAGTGATTCAATTGAACCAAAGCTTAATATATTTTTCAAATCAAAGCAAATCTATCAATGTACCACGCCCATCTTTAGCTCTCACCTGTTTTTCAGTAGATTGTATAATAAGTTCCATGGGTGAAAGAACAAAGGAAACATGACTTGATTTTGGAACAGGTAGAGGGGATGAACTAACACATTAATGAACATGAACATTTATTACTACTACTAAAAAAAAAAGAAAAAAAGATTTTCCCCACATCTTAGCTAGCTAGGGTGCCTCAGGACCGGCTACACACTAGTTTGAAAAGAGGTAAATTGAAGTTTTGATTTTAGACTAATCAACATAGACGAGTGTGATTTGTCTCATTGTCTCTGGAGCGTGCAAGCAAGGACTTCATGTTACGCATGATTGTGGTTTAACTTATCGTCGTTTTCAGGAATCGAGTCGGGTATTACCTAGTGTTATTAAACCCAGACCGGATCGGGCGGTTTGACTAGTCGAACCGCAACCCGGACACACAACTGGTCCAGTCAAAC